CCCCCCCCCCCCCTCCCCCCCCCGCCGCCGTTCATGTTAATGGAATCGCCGATTTCTTTCGTGACTTGATTTGTTCTTGTCCTTTTGTGTCCAGTGCCTCGGCGTGCCCGGCGGGCTTGGAGAGCTGATGCGGGAGTGCGAAGAACAGCGTCAGTACCCTAGGTCGGCTGCTTTGGCCGTCTTCCACGGCGACCTCAGGGCGGCCGTGTCGGTGAGATTGTGTTGTTGTTGTTGTTGTTGTACCATCCATCGGATAAACTGTTACCGCTGTCGTACAATACGTACGCGTTGTTTCTTATTTTGCTCTCTTCCGCTTCGAACCGCTTCGGTCAGGCCCTTCGTCGTGCTCATGACGTGACGAACCGGGAGCTGCAAGCCGCGTCGGACGTGGCCGCCTTGATGCCTCCCGCCGGACCTGCGGCCGCTGCCTCTCACACCCAGGTACGGTATGCTGCTGCAGTCCTAACGGGCATCGTCGCGTGTCGCTGTTTTTGGCATCAACCCCCCCCATCTGCCCCGAGACTTCACGATTCGCCGGAGGCATTTGGTGGGTCGTTAGTGCCGAAACATGTCTAGAGTTGGACGTTTTTCCAACCGCCGAAACACGCGTATTTCGGTGACACTGAACAGACACGAGTTTTTTTTTTTTTGTGCCGGCGTTACCCCTCCCTACGATATCGCAAAGCGCACGCACGCCCACTGGTGTATAATAGTAGTAACGATGATGGCATGCCCACCATTAAGCTCACGCCCCTCAACCGCCCCCCCCCATCCTTTCGCGCGGTTCTTGTGGTTTGAGAAGCCGCCGTGAGTGATGCTTACGGGCATGGTAGAGGTCTCCCTGTTTAGCGCAGGCTGAACAGCGCCGGTGTACGGTGTGGTGTCGGTTTATCCGGTTGGCACAGACTAAAGCATCACCGAGGCATTTTTGCACTTTTGAGTGGGGCCGGTGTCCGGTGTTATAGTGCCGGTATCTGGGCACATAGTACACAGGGGTACTGCTCTGCCGCCCCAAAACGTCGATGGCAATGCTCGTTGCTTGTTGTTTGTCCAAGGTCGCGGACGCCCGGAGGAGCATGTGCGTGCTGCTTGACATGATGAGCATGTGCATCGCGGGGTTCAACCCCCCTGCTGCTCGGCAAGGCAAGGGGGGCGGGGCGGGGCAGCGGCAGCAGCAGCAGTTACACGGCGATGGGGCGGGGTGCGGGGAGGAGGAGGAAGAGGAGGAGGAGGAGGGTCAGCCGCTGTGGAGGGATAAACTTAAGGAGCTTCTTGACTCAAAGGCAAGAACTTACGATGCGCTACTTTGTACGCCCGGTGATGATGTTTTTGCGACACACCATGCCCTAGCCCTAAGCCGGCTATCCAGCGCGCTTGATGCTAATCAAGAAAAACACACACGCACCACACAATACATACACTGGGTGACAAGTATTTTGTTTTTCACCGCGAAGAATGTGAAGTGGTGTGTGCTCAGTATTTTTATCATATATACTTTTGCGTTTTTTTTTTGTTTGCGGTTGCACCTCGTGGCACAGAACGCGCCCGCAACTTAAGAAATCGATCTTAAAAATATCAACATTTAAGAACTTGAGCACCATTTGAGGGGGGGGGGGGGGGGGGTACTCCATAGTCGTGCATGCCGCAGTCGTTAGACCATTGACCTTGCATCCCTACAAAGCCGGGACGGAGCACGCCGGGTTCTCACCGGACCAGGCTGTCACATCACCAAGCGCGAAGCGCCGTGAGGTATTCGGCGAGTCGCATGAAGGGTGCGCTGCATCCTGCTAAGGGTGTTCGGCATCTTGTGCATACTTCCTTGCGTACGGATGACAGCTGCGTGTGACTTAATTTATTTTCTGGTGCTTTCACTTCCAGAGACTGTAAGCACTGTGTAACTGCTTCGAGGATGCTTGACCATTTTAACACAACGTGGTGCGATCATCCCCCTTCCGCGGAGTGGGGTTTCTCCACCCCGCACAACATGATCTACTCGATCACCATTATGGTTACCGAAAAAAAAAACGGTAACCTGGTTGCCGAGTT